GCATAATTAAGATCATCTAAAGTATCTTCATACATTTAATATTGTATAATTATTATATATGATATATAAGAAATGTTACATATATAAAGAGTGAAATTGAAAAGATTACAGAAGGGGATAATTCAGTGAAAGATGTAGTTAATGAATTGAACAAAACTTATGCAAACTTACAAAATGTACTTTACTCACTGCACGGACACAATGTTATTGATAGGGACACCCATTACTAATAAGAATACTCAAATGTTTTATATAAGGTCAAAATAAGTTACTGGATTCTCAGTTCTCTAACTACAGAACGCATTAGACTTTTAAACAGTATAAGAAAAGGTTATTTGATGCTAATTTTGATATATTAGCATTAAGCATTCTGCATCTAGACCTCAGCCACTTCAGTCATCAGATCAGATGCTGACAGGTTGTGGAGGGGGAACTTTTTGCTATAATTTTACTGGTATTAAAACTTTCACAGAGATTCCATTTCTAGAATTTTTTTAAGTATGTGAAATTTCCTAACATATTAAACAACAAATGTTATTTCACACAAGCACAGAATTTAACAGCAGTCTCTCCAGTGCCAGACCTCAGAAGGTAACAACTAAAGGCATTTGGTCTCCCTGACTGTTCTGCGCAATCTTTACAACCTTTTTTGCCTTGGTGTTCTTCCTGTCGCACTACTGTCTTTGTGCTTTTGACTACACTGACCTCTAATCCTTAAATAGCACGAACTCATTGTCTGCCAAGCCACACATCTCTCCTCCTTCTGAAGTATTTCTTTCAGAAATAGCTCTTCATACCAAATTCCTTCTTCTGTCTCAAGTCCCTGAACCGTTGTCCACAATAGGATTTAAACTGGAGCAGGCTGCAGAACAGTTTGTTAGCCTAAATTAAACTTATTAACAAGTATGCACAACCAAGTAAAGCTCCAGTTCACATTTCCTAAGAGATTGCCCCTGCTACCAAAGGCCCTGCGGGGAAGGCCACCTTCCCAGGTTCATCTTGAACCTCCACCTCTATGCAGAGAAGAACTCGCCATTCACAGCACTGTCTGAACCCAAACACACTTCCAAGAGCACCCCAACTAAGAGGCTGCAGAACATTGCCACACTATGCACCAGCTTACCAAAACATAGGATAAAGACTGAAAAATAAAAACTCAGCTGTGTAATATACATGCGTATTATTGTAACCTCCTGCCTGTAAACGAGAATCTCAAAACCTAAGGCTAATACACTACGCTGTTGCAAATCAACAGATTTTTTATTTTCCCTTCCAGGAAAATAGTTAAGATACATTAATGTAAAATTAGAACAAAAACTGAAAGCTTAAAACCATGGTCCTCACTTGCCTATCTAAAATATCATTAAAATCTACCAGTTAAATTAACTCACCTTGGCACAAATGCCTGAAGTATATGTCTATGACTTTAAAACTGTAAATCTACCACAAAACATTCTTCCAGAACCTTTGGTGAGCTTAAAGGAGAAGTATTTATGCTGGATAATATCCAAGCAATATTTCACTTGCCTATCTAATTATTCCCCCTACTGGGGGATGAAGTGCTATGCAATGATAAGTTAATTTCTCATTTCAATCTTGTAAGAGATATATTAAGAACTAACCTAAAATCAGAATGACTTCTTAGAAAACTTGTATTTAGTATTTTCTGTGAAATACCAAAATGTTTCTCATGGATAATTCTGTAACCACTAATATTTTAAAACACAAGGAGTCAAATAAATTCATGCACCTGATAACTGCATAATCAAATTTGAGTTAATAATTCAATATATGTCACACAGTATACTAAGTGCCATTTTATACCTGAAATTTTTGAGGTACATTTATTAAATGTGATACTGATTTTAAAAATTATCTTCCTTATATTCAATTGTTTCTGTTCATTTGGTAATGAAAATCAGCTGTAATGGAACGCAGGAATAAACTGCAACCCTACAATGTTTTTCAACTATTTACACTCTGGTTTTCCTTAAAGACAAATTCAGAGAAACTACAATGGTCCAGAGCACTCCAGATTCCAGTAAATGCAACTTATCTGTGAATAAAGCCTTTTATTTATTTAAAGAAATAAAGGAGGCAGTTCCTTTAAAAAAAAAGAAAATCCATCTTTGATTTGTGTTATATTACTCACATCTACCTAACAAAACAGAAAAAATTACTGGTTGGCAGAGTCTCTGGTGTAAATGTCTACCACATAACAGCACAAAACTGTAACTTATTAGCCAGGCTGATCTCCTTATTATACCTGTTCCAAAACTATCTAACTTGTGTTTGGCCAGAACTCCAATAGCATTCTTCAGTCATGAAGATATTCTCTGTAGCCTTTGAGCTTCTCTTCTTTTTAACAAGCTATTGTTCCCCTTCGTAATGTGTAATAAATCATTTACTAGTATTATTTTTTTGATAGAAATAAATTTATTGTAAGGTAATTCTGCATTGATTTGAATACAGAATTATGGTTCAGAAATCACCTGATACATATTAATACTGACACTCATGACGCTTAATAAAACATTGGGTTATGGGGTTTTTTAAAAGTAAGCGCAAAGGCAGGATGAAGTTAAATAATCTGCCTTCAGTCATACAGAGTTCTGAATTCAAGACTTAAAATATTCAGACCACTAAGAAAAAAGCCTAAGATGTTTGACATTTAAGATCATTATCTAAGGTTTTTTAAAACACTGTGTACATTAGACCAGGCTTTTTGTTGATTTCAAGAACATCATGTCAGGTCCTCCAAAGACTGATGCAGGTAATGCATTTTTAAATATTAATCATCAGTGTAAACAGATCAGCCTGAACTAGGAAAAAAGTGTTCGCAAACAACATCAAGTATGCTAAATTTTATAACCTTCAGCCTTATGGCACTACAGTGCCAAATAACCTCCAAATGGAGATCCATATCCTAAGAAGCACAGAGCTTCAGTCTTAAAAACTGAAAAATATAAAGTGACAGATTTATTTTTTAAATGGCATTACAGATGACACTGACAAAATGAACAGAGAATAAAAAAAAAAAAAAAGAAAGAAAAAAAAAAAGAAAAAGCAAGCAGTAAAGCTCCAGCTGTTCAGAAGACACAATAAAACATGGGGCTGACCAACGACACAAACTTCCCTGAGGCACAAAACACTAATTGAACAGAAGAGGCTACTCCTGATTAGGCAGAACAGTGGAAATCAGTTATCTTCATATTTCTCTGTTTAAAAGGCCTAAACCACATTCTTAAATACTGCATAGGTAAAGTTTTTAATTCCCCTCTTTCTCTCTGCAAATTAACTCAGAATTAAGGGGTTTAAGGACTTCAAACAGGAGGATGAAGCCTGGACTTCTGAGTTGTGCCCTCCATCCTTTTACACTCCCCACTGCTACCACAGCTTCAGGAATTTATCTGGGTTCTCTAGACCCTTCTACAGTTCTTTGCCACATCCCTTGTTTATCAGCTGGGCAAGAGGGAGCCTGTGCAGTGTCAGATTGTGATCTCAAAAATGTTTCTTAGTTGGCTAATGTACGGATGCTCATTGCCAAGCCCATCTATCCGGTAACAGTTCAATTCACATTACAGCCTCTCCTGCAGCACTGGCACTTTATCTAGACTTATCTTTCCTGAGCAAATGTAGATTTTCACAGACCTACTCTATTTTCGCAGTTTCTCATTCCCACTACAACAAACATGACTAAAAGGGTTAAAACTTGAGGAGGAAGAGATATTGAGGAAGTAGCCTGGCAGAGAGATGCACCGCAAGCATCCGTAAGATTCATTTCCATAGAATATTTGCCTTAAATATAGCAAAACAATGTCTATTATCACCATTAACTATTGGAAACGGACTTCCAAAATATCATTTTGATGTAACTTTACCTGAAAGTATCTGTTACTCCCTTACAGATGTAAAGTCACTCGCTAACTTGGTGCAATACGATTAAGAGAGCACAAGGAGAATAACGTTTATTTTTTATATTTTAAATTATTGTTTTAGGGCCTCCAAGGAAAACTCATCTTGAGAAATGGAGTCATAAACATTAATCCCCTGACTGTGCCCGTAGCTTGGTTCTACCTGAGCAGATGAGATCAAACTGCATTTTTAAAACACTGACAGATCACACTGCAAGAACCAACCGCTGTGGCACACTCAGTATGCCTCTGTGGATACACCAGGGAAATGTTCAGAATTCTCCAATTACAGTATTTTCTGAACAATTTAATCAAACTGACCTAATACTCTGGAAAGAACTGACCAATTTTTTCCACTACACAACATGCAAGTCTAAACCTCCTTGTAAACAATCTCCAGTGAATCCGTTAGCTGGATACAAGCATTTCAAACATGAAAATGCATTCCAAACTTTAAAAGTCTACCTTGTTACTGTTCTACTCTACCATCCACGTTTCTGAGCACAACAGCAGAAGAAATCCAACGGCTCTCTTTTTACACCTTCCCAAGCAAAAAAAAAAATCCAAAAAATTAAGT